AAAGTGAGGAGGGAAATCCTAGAAAGAATGTTGGAGTGGCAGAACCCCCAACAATGTTTATAAACTCTGCTTGAATTTCTTGCAAACCCCTGAACTTTACATGTGTGGAGCAGCCTCCAAACAGCACACTTAAGGCTAAAGGAGCAGAGATTTCAGCTGCTGTCCACCATAGGGGAGGCAGAATTTGAAGTTTAAGTCCAGCTGAGGTGATTGTCTTCAAAAACAAAAACACTGACACTCTTTGGAGGAATATTACAGAATCTAGAGTCAATTATATTAATCACAATATCTAGGCTATGATCCAGAAACTATCACCCTAATCAATGGAGACTAACCCCACAATGAGCCGAAGGTTGGATTTAGCAGAGAAGATTTAAAGTAGCTATTATGACTATCCTCAAGGATATTCAGCAAAATGAAGTTGTATTTGTGAACAAATAGGACATCTCAGCAGAGAACTAGAAACTAAAGAATGAAATGAAAATTTTACATCTGAAAATATAATATCTGAAACAAAAAATATTGAATAGGTTTAACAGATCAGATATGACAGATAAGTCATTGAATTGGAGGATAGATTAATAGAAATCTAATCCGGAGTAGAGAAATTATTGTATATAAAAGTTCTTTGTAAACTTCAGTCCTCTGTTTAAGTTTCAGAGTTTATTACTCCAAGTTTCTTTTATATGTAAAGGGAAGAGGTGGATTTGGGTCTTCTTTTGATGTGCAGCTCCCTTAATCTCCTGTCCTGTCCTCTCCTGTCTGGGTCTAGGCTTTATACCTTGCTTCTTTTTCTTCTTTTCTTTTTTTTTTTTTTGGAGACAGAGCCTTGCTCCGTCATGCAGGCTGGAGTGCAATGGATCTCAGCTAACTGCAACCTCTGCCTCCTGGGTTCAAGTGATTCTTCTGCCTCAACCTCCCAAGTAGCTGGGATGACAGACTTGAGCCACTACACCTGGCTAACTTTTATATTTTGGGTAGAGACGGGGTCTCACCATGTTGTCCAGGCTGGTCTCAAACTCTTGGCCTCAAGCAGTCCCCTTGCCTCATCCTCCCGAAGTGCTGGGATGACAGGCATTGGCCACTCGCTTGGCCTAGCCTCTGGTTTCTAACATCTCCTGCAGTCAGATATTTTGCCCTTGCTGCTTTCCTGTACTGTTGTCAGAGGTCACCAGGAATCTTTTGGTCAGTACACTCGACATATTCGTAACAGGCCTCACCTCCATGTCTCTCTTCAGTATTTTGCACCATTGCCACCTCTTTTCTGCAAGGTCATTGTCTTTCCTCAATGAAGGTGTTTTTTATTTCTCCTCTTCTGTCTTATTGTGTCTTTTCTGTTTTCCAAAAATTCATTCTTAGCTTTTTCCCTCTTATTTTATTCTACTTTTTAGTCTACTTTATTATTTTCATACTTGGTTACTTCAGCCTTGTCGTTTCAGAGGCCTCTTCTCCCTCTCTGGCTCTGCTGTCTCCAGAGCCCAGTCCTGCTGCTTCTGTCTGCTGATCACTAAACATTTCTACTTAGATATCCTGGGGTAGACACCTGGAGCTCAGGCTGTCTGAAGTGAAACCTCCCTGCTGCTTTTTTTTCTTTTTTTTTTTTGAGGTGGGGTCTCCTCAAAACCTCTTATCAAGCCAGTTTCTATACTTCTTCTCTGGTGTTCTGGGACTCTGCCTTTATATCAACACCTAGCATGTGGCAGTTACTCTGAAAATGATATCTGAAGGAATAGATGAATTCTTCCAGTTACCCAAGTTGGAATTCTGAGACTCACCTTTGATTTGATCTCTGTGGTGACCACATCCAATCTGTTGCCAAGTCATGTCAGTTTTGTGTCTAATGTATCTCTTGTATTCCTTCCTTCATTCCCATTGCTATTACTCTGATATCCTAGTAGGCTCCTAGACAGTCTTTTCTTTCTCCATGCCTTTTTCCTTGCTAATATTTTTTATGTGTTGCTATTAGAGCAGTCTTGACTCATGCCTAATGATGGTGATGATGATAATGCCTAGTATTTATTAAACACTATGGGCCCCACTATCTAAGTGCATTATATCATTCCATTCAAATAACTTATAAGGTAGATACTGTCAATCTATATTTTATAAGTGAAACGGAGGCCCAGAGAGTTAATTGTCTTGCCAAGACCACGCAGCTAGTAAATGGCAGAGCTAGAATTTTAAGCTGTCTGATTTTAGTTCAAGCTTTAACTACCATGCTGTTCTCCCTCCCACAGAGTAGTGTAACTGATCATGCTGTTCTTACTCAAACATCTTACAGTTATATCAAACACCCCACTACTTTTTAGTCTTATATTCAGTATCCTTTGTGAACTGACTCCATCTCATTATTTCTGTTACTTTGTTTTTTTTTTTCTATGCCAAACTGAATCTATTATCTAAATATTCATACACTTCCCAGTAATTTTATTCATTTTATTTTTTCTACCTGTTTATCTCCCTCTCATAACATGTTTTGTAACTGCTCTGTGGCACTAAATGCATTTCTTTCTTTCTTTCTTTTTTTTTTATCTTATGTGTTTTTATGTATATTTTTGACAGATTTCACTCTTGCTGCCCAGACTGGAATGCAATGGTGCAATCTTGGCTCACTGCAACCTCCACCTCCTGGGTTCAAGCAATTCTCCTGCCTAACCTCCTGAGTAGCTGGGATTACAGGCATGCACCACCATGCCGGCTAATTCTGTATTTTTAGTAGAGACAGAGTTTCTCCATGTTAGTCAGGCTGGTCTCAAATTCCTAACCTCAGGTGACCTGCCTGCCTCAGCCTCCCAAAGTGCTGGGATTACAGGCGTGAGCCACCACACCAGCCTTATTTCATGTTATAATTATAGTTTGATGTTTTATCTTTCTTTTGAGCCTGTAATCTTGAGTGCAGCATCTGTAATTTTTTTCTGTCTCCATGCCTTGTATAATGCATGCTTTTACATGTTTTTTCTTTATTAAATTTCTCTTCAAAAATATCTGTTGAATAAGTGAAAAATTTAACTGTTACCCATAGACCATTAACCATAAGATTCCGGTATTGATGGCTTATTAGTGTGCTACGTCTCATTTCCCTATGATTCAGTAGTTCGTTACACTATATAATAGGAAGAACTTGTGACAATGTTTGTGATCTGAGGGTTTGGGTTTTTTTTGAGACAATGTGTAAGGCTAGTTTAAGATACTTCAGTTTGAACCATTTTATTGATTCTGAGACACGTTTTTCACATGCTGAAATTGTCAGTATAGATTTTTATTTTGTTAGGCCGGGCGTGGTAGTTCATGCCTGTAATCCCAGCACTTTGGGAGGCTCAGGCAGGTGGATCACCCAAGGTCAGGTGTTTGAGACCAGTCTGGCCAACCAACATGGTGAAACCCCATCTCTGCTAAAAATACAAAAATTAGCCGAGTGTGGTGGCTTGTTCCTGTAATCCCAGCTACTTGGGAAGGTGAGGCAGGAGGATCACTTGAACCCAGGAAGCAGAGGTTGCAGTGAGCCAAGATTATACCACTGCACTCCAGCCTGGGCCACAGAGCAAGACTCTTTCTCAAAACAAAAAAAAAATTATTTTGTTTTTTAAATCTTCCTGTAAATTCATGGTGTCATAGAATCAGGGAAATTTGTGAGTACAAATAAGTAGTGACTTGGTTAAATGGCCTCTTGGAACAATATTCATAATTTGGATTTTTGTTTATATTCTAAGAGGATAGGCTCAAGTCTCTGTAGCTTCTGTCATCTTATTTTATATTGTATTGCTGCTGAAAGGCTTTTAAAAAATGAGATAAGTGGTAAGAGTTTTGCTATTTTTTTAATTGGGGGAGGAATGGGGAAACTATTAGGTTTAAGTGGGATTTACTAGTAATGCATCAATGTAGAGTTAAAAGGATCAAGTTGCAGGATTTCTAAAGTATAATATTATTTATGTAAAATTTTAAAACATGCTACCTTGTTAAAGGCTACATACTTATTCAGAAAGAATGTGGTTACGTAAAAAGAGAGTCATAAACACTGTATTCAGGATCCTGGTTGCTTTTGGAAGCAAGGTGTGTAGAGGGATAGAATGAGGGAGAGATGCCAAGAGGCTTTGTATTGTTTGTGTTCTGGGCTGAGTAGTAGATGGGTGGGTGGGTCTTTGTTACATTGTTCTCTGTAACTCCTTGTCTATCTGAAATATTTTATAATTTTGTAAAATGAGGGGGAAAGGATACAGGTGGATATGTATTTGTCTTAAATATCATTTTAAAAGTTTGTGGTTTTAAGTTCAAACCACGGAGTTTCCCACTCACCTTGACTCTCCTTACTTTCCCTCCCAAAAGTGAACATTTTACTGGTTTCTTTTAACCTTTCCAGAGATGTGTACATAAACAAGAATATGTATAAATTTTTCTCCCACCTTTAAAAACTGAAGTAAATGCTCCACTCTTTTACATAAATAGTTGTCTTCTTTACATAGTTTTACACTATTCTTTTTTAGCTTAATAAGATAAGTTGGAGGCCGGGCATGGTGGCTCACGCCTGTAATCCCAGCAGGTGGATCACCTGAGGTCAGGAATTTGCGACCAGCCTGGCCAACATGGTGAAACCCCATCTCTACAAAAAATATAAAAATTAGCTGGGCGTGGTGGCGGACGCCTGTAATCCCAGCTCCTTGGGAGGCTGAGGCAGAAGAATCGCTTGAACCTGGGAGGCAGAGGTTGCAGTGATCTGAGATCGAACCATTGCATTCCAGACTGGGCAACAAGTACAAAACTCTGTCTCAATAATAATAATAATAATAATAATAATAAAACTTGGAGATTATTCCATATCAGTACATTAAATATGTAGTTTTAACAGATTCTGCTTTTTTTTTTTTTTTTTTTTTTTTTTGAGACAGGGTCTCGCTTTGCCTCCCACGTTGAGGTGCAGTGGCATGATCATGGCTCACTGTAGTCTCGACCTTCTCAGCTCAGGCTATCCTCCTGCTTCAGCTATCCAAGTAGCTGGGACTAAGTCACGCACCACCATTCCTGGCTAATTTTTGACATGTAGAAAGCACTATAAAATGTTAGCTATTTTAATTATATTACCGATCACTTAGCTTTCTGCTCCCCAAGCCACTGCCAATTTCCAGATAGCTAACCCCACATTCCACCACTGACCTCCATAATAGACCTTGGTTTGTCTGGCTAGTGTGGAAACCTCGTTTTCTTTTTCAGTGTCTGCTCTTTCAAAGGATGTTCTCCTGGCCATCCAGTGATGCCCTTTATACATCCAGTGATGCCTTCTGCCTAAAGTACCAGGCTTCTCTGCACAGCTAGGGTAGAGAAGACGATGTACAGTCTCACATCTACCTGAAACTAGGGCACTTCTGAATGTCTTTGTTGCTTATACTCAGCTTCTTGGTCAGAATTCTACATATTCTTTCTCATATAGGCTTTCCCCTCCAGTTGTTCCACCTTACCTTCTACTTTGTGAACCTACATGCTAATATGTGTCTGAATCCAGTTGAGATCAGGGTTTAAGTTCTTTCTTTTTCCTTCTTTTCTTTCTTTTTTTCCCTTTCCCTCTTTTTATTGCAACGGTGTCACTGTTGCCCAGGGCTGGAGTGCAGTGGTGTGATCACAGCTCACTGCAGCCTCGACCTCCCAGGCTTAAGTGATCCTCCCACCCCAGGCCCCCAAGTAGCTGGGAGTACAGGTGCATACTACCAAACCCAGCTAATAGTTTTATTTTTTGTGGAGATGAGGTTTCACTGTGTTGCTCAGGCTGGTCTTGAATGCCTGGGCTCAAGCACCCCTCCCACCTCATCCTCCCAAAGTGCTGGGATTATTGGCATGAGCCACTGCGCCCAGTTTAAGTTCTTTCTCATGAGGCTTTTGGGCCACAAGTTAATTGGGAATGTGGCTTGACATTATTTTAAGGGTTCCTTAGCTACTGTGACTGATAGGTCGCCCAAACATTTGATGATAATTGGGAGGCCAGTATCCCCTGAGCACCAGAGGATCCCTGAGGAGCAGTGACATCTCTGCCCAATCAGGATACCCTGTTATGTTATTAACATTTATAGCTAACATCTGCATAGCAGTTTCCATTACAACATGATTTTCACATAAGTTATGTCATTTCAGTATCTCATTTTCATTTTTCTTATGAGAAAACAAGATTAGAAACATTGTGTTCACATAAATGGAAAAGGACAAGTCTGTCTTCATGTGTCGCTCATATCAAGCAATCTTCTTACCAGATTAAAAAAGATCATATTGTATGGTTCAGCAGAGTTATATCAGTTGTCATAATGGAGGAATTTAGTGTTAGCCATGTCTGCAGTGAAATTAAAAGCATTGAAAACTTGAGTAATTTCATTTAAATTTAGGTCTCCTTACTACTCTGTCAGTTTGTGTGAACTATATACAATTTTGTATTAATAAAAAATATATGTGTAAGCCTGATGTGGTGGCTCACACCTGTAATCCCAGCACTTTGGGAGGCTGAGGCGGGCCTATCATGAGGTCAGGAGATCAAGACCATTCTGGCCAACATGGTGAAACCCTGTCTCTACTGAAAATACAAAAATTAGCAGAGGGTGGCGGTATGTGCCTGTAATCACAGCTACTCGGGAAGCTGAGGCAGGAGAATCGCTTGAACCAGGGAGTTAGAGGTTGCAGTGAGCCAAAATCGCCCCACTGCACACCAGCCTGGCAACAGAGGAGTGAGACTCTGTCTCAAAATATATATGTGTGTGTGTGTGTGTGTGTGTGTACATACACCTATCTTTATAAATTTGTTTTCCTTTTTTTAGAACCACAATGGACACTGCCAGCCATAGCCTTGTTCTTCTGCAGCAGCTGAACATGCAGCGAGAATTTGGTTTTTTGTGTGATTGCACAGTTGCAATTGGAGATGTTTACTTCAAGGCTCACAGAGCAGTACTTGCTGCTTTTTCTAACTATTTCAAGATGATATTTATTCACCAAACAAGGTAAGGATGTGTTTTTGTAAGTAAGAATTTTTAATATTGTAATTTATATAAGCTTCATTATAATATCATTTTGGAATCCTTTGTTATGGAGTCACCCTAAGAAGCAAAATTATAATAATTTTTTATACATCAGTAATTAAACTCAGTGTGTAGGATCTGTAGTGGAAAATAATGAAAATAAGAATATTTATTGAAGGCTTATCCCATACCCAAGCACTAAGTATTTGCCCTATAATGTAAATTCTACTGTTATCCCTAATTTAGGGAAAAGAAAACTGAGACTGAGTTAAGTAACTTGCCCATCCAGAATTATATAGCTAATAAGTTAGACTCAGATGCAAAGTTGTCTGAAGCTATGTCTATGCTTTTAGTCACTGTTGTTAATTTTTATTTCATATAACACTTTATTATTTATTTACTTATTTGAGATGGAGTCTAGCTCTGTTGCCCAGGCTGGAGTGCAGTGGCACGATCTTGGCACACTCCAACCTTGACCATCTGGGTTCAAGCAGTTCTGCCTCAGCCTCCTGAGTAGCTGGGACTATAGGTGTGCACCACCACACCTGGCTAAATTTTGTATTTTTTATAGAGACTGGGTTTCTCTATGTTGGCCAGGCTGATCTCAAACTCCTGACCTCAGGTGATCTGCCTGCCTCGGCCTTCCAAATTGCTGGAATTACAGGCGTGAGCCACCACACCCTGCCTCATATAACACTTCCATAGCAAAGTTTCAGTATCATAATTCTGCCTGTCATATGGTCAGTATTACAGTTCAAGGGTCATTTGTTTCAAATATTTTTTCAAAATTATTTTGCTTTTTCAAATTTGGGTTACTTCAATGTATTAGGTATGTAGGGAGGGAGAAGGAAAGTGGTATTCAGATTCGAACCTTTTGGTAGAGTAGTTTTAGTCCATCCTAGAATGAAAGTGACAGAACACTTTATGTTTTTTTAAAGAACCTTACTTGAAATACTTAGGAGTCCAGCCTAAGTTATACATTTTAATTGTTAATTCATTCAAATATTTATTGAATAGGTTATTCAATATGTCAGGCACTGTGCTATGCCTCAGTGTACTAATCCACTCTTATGCTACTATAAGGACATACTTGAAACTGGGGTTTTGTTTGTTTGTTTGTTTGAGACTGAGTTTCACTCCATCACCCATGCTGGAGTGCAATGGCATGATTTTGCCTCATTGCACCCTCTAACTCCTGGGTTCAAATGATTCTCATGCCTCAGCCTCTCAAATAGCTGGGATTACAGGTATGCACCATCACACCCAGCCAATTTTTGTATTTTTAGTAGAGACGGGGTTTCACCATGTTGCCCAGGCTGGTTTTGAACTCCTGACCTCAGGTGATCCACCTGCTTCAGCCTCCCAAAGTGCTGGAATTGCAGGCATGAGCCATTGTACCTGGCTCGAGACTGGGTAGTTTATAAAGGAAAGGGATTTAATTGACTCACAATTCCTCAGGGATGGGGAGGCCTCAGGAAACTTATAATCATGGCAGAAAGGGAAGCAAACACTTTCTTCTTCACATGGCGACAGGAAGGAGAAGAATAAGAGCCAAGTGAAGGGGGAAGCCCCTTATAAAACCATCACGTCTCATGAGAACTTACTCACTATCATGAGAATAGCATGGGGGAGCCACCCCCATGGTTCAATTACTTCACATCAGGTCCCTCCCACCACGTGAGGGGATTATGGGAATTACAATTCAAGATGAAATTTGGGTGAAGACACAGCCAAACCATATCACCCAGTAACAGGTAAATTATAATCTCTGCCTTTGAGTAATTCATAGTCTGATGGTTAATGCATGTAAAACAAATAATTGTGCTGTAATTGACCCTCTTGTGCCTCCATTTCCTTTTCTATAAAATGCTAGAATTGTATATTCACCCCATGGGTACTAAGAAAATTAAATGGATTAATAATATTAAAATGCTTAGAATAAAGTTTTGCGCTGTTAGCTACTTTTGCTATTAATAATACCTTAAGTGTGTCATAGAAGCATATACAAGGTAAAGTAAGGTTTCAGTAGCCCTATTTTGAGAAGGTTGGAACAGTCTTTACAGAGACCCTGGATCTTGAAGAATAAGGAGTTTTTCAGATGTTGTAGAAGAATGCAAGAATGTGCATCACAGGCAGAAGGAAAAAATGGCATGAAAACATATAGAGATTTGTGAACCAGGCCAGCACATTCAGATGACAGAATAGATCAGAATGATTGGAATATGTGGCACAAAGGGGAGAGGAGATTGGAATGGGGACAAGTAACGGGCAACCGTTTCTGCCAAATGAAGGAATTTCTTATCTGACCTACGTGTCAATTGTAGAATTGTAGATTACCTTCACTGTATTAGAAATGCCACCTTCAGATCGGTCTCCTGAGAGCTGTAAGTTGATTCAGCTCTCAATGCACAGGCACAATGCTAAACTGAACCCAGGTGATAGAAAGGTAGGCCTGCTATGTAGTATCTCTGTATAGAGCAACAAAAAATCATGTTATTAGAACCCTGAACTGATATTTTTTAAAACCGTGCTACAAACCACGTAAGTGGATAGGTTAGAACTAAGAGTGGAACCCAATAGAAGTCCTGAGATCTCAGGACCAAAGTAATGGATTGCCAGCGTACTGCCACCCAGGGCAATCTGATGCTCTCACATAAACTTCTGCTTCAGGGAAGGTAAGTCCATTCACTGATTTCATTGTTACTTGATAGCAACATTTCCTTCAGGTTGTCTCGATTCTAATTTTGCAGGGATGTGTCTGATTTCATATACTTATTTCCATCTATTACCTGAATTATAGATTCACATGTAGAAATTGAGTTTGGATTATTTTTAAGCTTTTCAAAATTATACCTGTGTTCATTTGTGATGTATTTATTTATTTTTATTTTTAATTATTTGAGGCAGGGTCTGGCTCTGTTGTCCAGGCTGGAGTGCAGTAACACAGTCCTGGCTCACTGCAACCTCTGCAGTGACTCAAGTGTTCCTTCCACCTCAGCCTCCCGAGTAGCTGGGACAATAGGTGCATGTCACCACACCTGGCTAATTTTTTTTTTGTTTGTTACAAAAGCTATGTTGCCCAGGCTGATCTTGAACTCCTGCACTCAAGTGATCCGCCTGGCTCAGCCTCCCAAAGTGCTGGAATTATAGGCATGAGCCACCATGCCCGGCCCCTCACTTGTGATTTAAAGGACGCATATATGAATATATTTTGGAAGCCAAAGTAAGATTAGCATTATTTAGAATTTAAGTATTATCAATTTCAATAGATTTTTTTTTTTTTTTTTGAGATAGTCTCTTTCTGTTGCCTAGGCTAGAATGCAGTGGCATGATCTCATCTCACTGCAACTTTCACCCACAGGTTCAAGCAATTGTCCTGCCTCAACATCCCTAGTAGCTAGGACTACAGGCATACACCACCACACCTGGCTAATTTTTTGTAGTTCTAGTAGAGACGGGGTTTCACCATGTTGGCCAGGCTCATCTTGAACTAGTGACCTCAGATTATCTGCCTGCCTCGGCCTCCCAAAGTTCTGGGATCACAGGACTGAGCTACTATACCTGGCCAATTTCAGTAGATTCTTTCAAAAGTTTTTAAGTATTTTTATTGTGGCTATAAACGTGTAAAATTTGCCATTTTAACCATTTTTAATTATACAATGCAATAGTGGTAATCATATTCACAATATTGTACAACCATTACCACTATTTTCAAAACTTTTTCATCACCCCAAACAGAAACTTTGTACCCATTAAGCAATAACTCCCCGTCTCATTCTCTCAATCCCCAGAAACCACTAATCTACTTTCTATCTCTATGAATTTGCCTATTCTAGATATTTTATACAATACTCGTCCTTTTGTGTCTGGCATATTTTACTTTCATGATATTTTGGGGGTTCTCCATGTTGTAGCAGATATCAGAATAATATTCCATTGTATGTATAAGCCATCTTATATTTATCCACTCACTTTTGGTGGACACTAGGTTCTTGCTACCTTTGGCTACTCTGAGTAATGTTGCAGTGAACATTGGCATACAGGTATCTGTTTGAGTCCCTGTTTTTAGTTCTTTTGATTGTTTACTCGATAGACTGTTAAATTCCTTAAGAGGGTACCTATTTTATTCATCAGTTTTCTACCCTTGGCATCTAGTATAGTAAATATCACTTAGGAGTCACTCAATTAACGTTGAACTAATCAGAATATATGTCTTTGTTTCCTAACTTTAAGCAAAAGATTGAATACATGAAGACTTTTTGCTAGGCCATAAAATGGGTATAAAATGAATTTAAGCATTTGTTGCCATGTTTATTAAGGCAGATTGCTAAGTTCAAACTTCTTAGGAAGAAATTGCTTTAGTCTCAGGCTATACTGTTAACAAAAAGGCCAACTAGCTTGTGTTTCATTTCGTGTGGATCTGTTTTTGTTTTTAACAGTGAATGCATAAAAATACAACCAACTGACATCCAACCTGACATATTCAGCTATTTGTTGCACATTATGTACACGGGGAAAGGGCCAAAACAGATTGTGGATCATAGTCGTTTGGAGGAAGGGATTCGATTTCTTCATGCCGACTACCTTTCTCACATTGCAACTGAAATGAATCAAGTGTTCTCACCAGAGACTGTGCAGTCCTCAAATTTATATGGCATTCAGATCTCAACAACCCAAAAAACAGTGGTCAAACAAGGACTGGAGGTCAAAGAAGCTCCTTCTAGTAACAGTGGAAACAGAGCTGCTGTCCAGGGTGACCACCCCCAGTTGCAGCTGTCTCTTGCTATTGGTCTGGATGATGGCACTGCAGACCAGCAGAGGGCCCATCCTGCCACCCAGGCCCTGGAGGAGCACCAGAAGCCCCCAGTTTCCATCAAGCAGGAGAGATGTGACCCAGAATCTGTGATGTCCCAGAGCCACCCCTCACCCTCATCAGAGGTGACAGGCCCCACTTTTACTGAAACCAGTATCAGAATACACTTATGCCATTACTGTGGGGAACGTTTTGATTCCCGTAGTAACCTAAGGCAACATCTCCATACACATGTATCTGGATCCCTGCCATTTGGTGTCCCTGCTTCCATTCTGGAAAGTAATGACCTTGGTGAAGTGCATCCCCTTAATGAAAACAGCGAGGCTCTGGAATGTCGCAGGCTCAGCTCCTTCATTGTTAAGGAGAATGAACAGCAGCCTGACCACTCCAACCGGGGTACCACAGAGCCTTTGCAGATCAGTCAAGTATCTTTGATCTCCAAAGACACAGAGCCAGTAGAATTAAACTGTAATTTTTCTTTTTCAAGGAAAAGAAAAATCAGCTGTTCCATCTGTGGTCATAAATTCCCTCGAAAGAGCCAATTGTTGGAACACATGTATACACACAAAGGTAAATCTTACAGATATAACCGATGCCAAAGGTTTGGTAATGCACTGGCCCAGAGATTTCAGCCACATTGTGACAACTGGTCTGATGTCTCCCTGAAAAGTTCTCGCTTGTCACAAGAACACTTAGACTTGCCTTGTGCCTTAGAGTCGGAGCTTACACAAGAAAATGTGGATACTATCCTAGTTGAGTAGCAGCTTCTCTTTCAGAATTGTTAGACCAATTCTGAAAAAAAAATTGCATGGCATTTTTTATTCATAAATTATTTTCCCCTCAGTTCCATTGACTTTTTTTCTTCACAGCTTATCCATAGTTTTAAGGTTGTATATATTAGGTCTTCTCATAAGACTTAATATGTGGCTATTAAAATGTAACCTTCAATTAGTACTATGAACTTTTCACAAATGAAATCACAATTTAGAAATCAGAAGTCAATGTGGAAATATGGAAACTTTAAATAGGTATTTATAGAATTTCCAAGTTTAGTCATAGAATCAGTAAAATCAAATTGAATATAAAGTAAATGAAATCTGTTCTAAAGCATTTTCTGAACTATCACTTTTGCTTACATTTCACATGAATTCACTCCTACAAGGATTATTTTTAAATACTTTCTTCCATATAGGAAATTAATAGTTATTTTAATGCATAACTATATGTTATACATATGTTATAATGTATAAAAATTTATTTTAAGATATACCAAATCATGAGTAGTTTTATTTTTTACTACTAGCTCTACAACAACTTACCTACATGGCTTCTCTTTACTTTTTGACATTGAGTATACCTCATTTTTAGTAAAAAATAGTTAAAAGGGAGAAGAGTCAGAAAGACATTAAAAAATCTTTAAGAAATAATAAGATATGTACACATAGAAAAATAAACATGCAGAGACAGAGACTCCGCTAGAACTGCATTCACTAAAAACCCCAGGGTTATTACCTTGGTCTAGAGTATTTTCTTAGACACCTTAAAAAGACCAGAGGTTTACATGAGTTGAAAGAGAAAGATGATAAAATACAAATCATCTTTCTACCCTCAGTGTCAGCTGACTTTTTGGGCTGCCTGGGTTGATATTAATTTTCTAAAAATCACTTGAAAAAGTAACTTTTTGGTGGCACAGTTTTTACTTTTTTTCTGATCCATAAAACCAGCAAAGTAGATACATTCAATGGTCTGTAACTACATTTAAAATCCATGATGGTAGCTTTCCCTGTATAAATTAACTTAACTCTCTTTTATAATGGTGACACTTACAAAGCTAAAACCCCAGGAAAATTAAAGTTGATGGAATAAATTACAGATTCTCCTGCTCTGTGCACCTGGGAAATAGCTGGTTAAGCTTCGCCACAAACGAAAGATCTGCGATGTTTAAATTTCAAATACTGCACAGTCAAGGATAATAAAACAGACTCATTTTTTGCCCTCTTGTTGAATTCTAAGCTTCACAGGCATTTGAATACATCTAAAAAAAATTGGTTTGTGAGCCTTAGAATTTAACCATGAACAAAACTCTTGAGCTTCCTCCAGACTGAACACTTTCAAGGACATTTCCTGACACATTCAGCAACATCAGTGTTCAACCAGGAGGGCGCGCAAAGAATAATCCAGCTAATTCTAAGGACACAAAGGTTTCTCTAGGTAAACAGTAGTTCAGGTAAATTACAAAGTGATAAATTTTTCTTGAAGACTGAATGAGGAAAACTACTGGGTATTATGTAAGGCAGTTGAGTTTCTGCCTTAGACAAGTGAGTAAAGGCGCATATTGTCAAGTCTGATGTGTGTTGAGAGCAAATCTAACTGTTGATATGATTAATTGTATTGGGAGTAATTAAAACAAATGTATTGTTCTTTGAGGTCAGAACTTTATCTAATTTTAAACTTTTTTTCTACCAATTCATTTAAGCAACTATTCAAATTTGTACTGCGCTCAAAGATGTCATCTCATTGGCAGAACACAAATATTAACATGGATTTTATGTATTTTAGGCTAGTTAGGACCTATTTCCTAGCCTTCGTCAGTGAAAATTTTATTGTGCTTATTAAGTTAATTTTTCTCCTCTATATTCTTCCCTATTTGCCCACTCATTATTCTTTGACACAGGAAATCCTTGTATAGCTAAAAAGTGGAGGTAGAGTTGTAAGTGGATGGTGAGATTAGACAGTGCTTTAGGGCAGAGTTTGGAGAAATGATAAGAGTTTGCTGGCAGCTGATTGGCCATGATAGACAACACTGACTTAAAGCAGAAATATATCTGTTGAGAGTTCAGAAAATAGGGATTAACTGTATTTCTATTCTTATAGTTCCTTTTAATATTAGAAATTCAAAGCAAATGTTCTGTCCTTGGTCCTTATAACATTCATTCTGTTTAGGAAGTGGGAAAATATCAACTTCATTTTATAGAAAAAAGTCCCAAAAGCTGAATTCCAGAGATGCAATGAATAGTGGTGTGGGACTGACCCCAGTTTTGTTGTGGTTGTTTTCATTTATTCTGCAGGCTTTTTTTTTTTTTTTTTTTTTTTTTGAGGTGGAGTCTCACTCTGTTGCTCAGGCTAGAGTGTAGTGGCGTGGTCTGGGCTCACTGAGGCATTTTTTAAAGTAACTGTCATATGACTAACACTGTGCCCTATTCATTTTTAAAGACATGATTGCTTACTGAGAAAATTTCCTTTGTATTTTAAAAGTTCTTCCAGCTAAAACCTTTGTTTTTGACTACATCTCCACAAAATGGAGCTATACTGTTAGCCAGCATCCTAATAATATAGTGCAGTTTGCATAATGATTACCAAGCTTGAAACTGGAAATGCCATATGCACTTTCCTCTCTGTATCAGGCAGATACTAAACAGACTTTTCCCCTTGAGTCAGCTTAAAAATTTTTCCTTCTTTCGAAATCTCACACACAGTTGTTTTCTGGAGAAAAATAGAGACTGTTTTAGTATTTGTTCTTATTAGTATATCATTAGAACTCAGCACAGTCTGCCTTATACGAAAATCAAAATTTTTTTATTTATAACTCTTCAGATTGTTACCTCTTGCTCTTTCTGATTTCCCATCTGTAAAGTGAGTATAAGCAATACCTACCTCACAGGGTTGTTGTGAGGATTTATATTAAACATGTTCTCTTAGTATTATTGATTAAAACCAACCATCATATAAGCTACATTTATTCTGTAGCTAGACCTATTAACTTTAATATTTCAGCCTATAAATTCTAGAACATCTTAGAAGCAGTAATGTACTATCTAATATTCAATAATTGACAAAACTGTTACTGTTATTTTTTACAAATAACTCTAGAAACAATAGTGTTGCTAGAATTCCTGTTCTACTGTGATTTAATCATCACTGTTTCTCTTTGGCCTTCAGTAAAGAGGATATTAGTTCTTTGGCATTATTGGGAATAAAACTTCATCAATTTCAGCCGTATTGAAACTTCCTTCCAAATATATTGTTTACATAAAGGAAAAGGAACAAAAACAATAAAGAAATATCATATTTATCTATTTGATGTAGGTGATCTAAATAGTAGATGAGGACAGGAAATGGGGTGAAGGTAATAACATAGTATTATTAGAAAAATTGGTCAGGCATGGTGGCTCACACCTGTAATCCCAGCACTTTGGGAGGCCGAAGGCGGGTGGATCACTTGAGGTCAGTTTGAGACCAGCCTGACAAACATGGTGAAACCCCATCTCTACTAAAAACACAAAAAATTAGCTGGGCGTGGTGGCACGCGCCTGTCATCCCAGCAATTCGGGAAGCTGAGGCAGGAGAATCGCTTTAACCTGGGAGGCAGAGGTTTTAGTGAGCTGAGATCACAACATTGTGCTCCAGCCTGGGCTACAGAGCAAAACTCTGTCTCAAGGAAAAAAAAATAAAGTCATCACTGAAAACTGAAGGAAATACATATTAAGCATGGAAAAAGATAGTCTGAAAAATGTATAATTCCATTAAAGTTTATTTGTATAGACACATTCTTGATGTTGTGACTCAGATACTTGATGTGTCATTTTTTTGTAGTAATTGATATAAAAATGGGCCATGCAAAGAATTTTCATAATGTGATATGTGTCTTTATATGTTTTGAACTACATGTAGATCTGTGGCACCTAAATTATTAATTTTTAAATTCTTAAGAGTAAAGTCTGTAAATTATTATTCTCTGCTGTACTTCTGTGTTTGTATGGTTGGACCTTTTAAAAACTGGTGAGGTTACACAATCCCAACCCTGGATGTCTTAAATACAAGGAATTACAAACTTTGATTTTTTTCTTGAAGACCTGTAAGAATTCATTGTGCTTCAGTATGTATCTGTACTGCACTTGATTAATTAGTAAGTATTGCTCTGGTGCAATTGATATTATCTGTCATCAACTCCTCTGTTGTGTACTAAATAAAGTCATTTAGTCAGAATGGATCAAATATAAACTTACACTTTAAACTTCGATTACAAAAACTTGTTCAATAAAAAAGACCCACTGAAAAATCTTCAAAGTACATGTAACACATAGTAAATACAGGAGACCAAAATCAATAATACATTGTGTGGCTAAACTCTTCCACCTAATGTACTGTCAATTTGCTTCAGAAACATTCTTTTAGAAAGTTGTGTATCCTCTAGTTGGAATGGAAACAATGGATTTCATGTATTTTATCAAGACGAATAAATTAATGTGACTTAATCAAAAACAAGTTTATTAGCTCAGCTTATAGAATGTGTTCTTATTTTACAGCAGTATCTGCCAAATGTTGTGTTCCTAGTGTTGAGGTAAGTAGTCTTTGTACTGGATAACATTTTGGAGGTGTGATGTAAAAATGCATTCATGGGCCTAATACCAACAATAATCTGTGTTAATATTAATCAAATGCTTTCCAACTGCCGTCTCTGGAAAGAAAGATAGTATCTCATCATTTCCCAGAAGTTTCTTGCTTTGCTTCTTTCTTCTCTATTTACAGTCTACTGTATCTCCTTTTGCCCATGTTCTACAATAGTAGTTCTCAACCAAGGCATATTATTCAGGATTCTCCAGAAAAAGAAAGAAACAAGGCTGAGTGTGGTGGTTTATGCTTGTAATCCCAGCAATTTGGGAGGCCGCAATGGGTGGATCACCTGAGGTCGCGAGTTCAAGACCAGCCTGACCAACATGGTGAAATCCTGTCTCTAAATAAAATAAATTTAAAAAGAAAGAAACAACAGGTAGAATTGAGAGAAAGAGATTGATTGCTTGATTATAAGGAATTGGTTCATGCAGTTATGGAGGCTGAGAAGTCCCAAGATCTGCAGTTGGCAAGCTGAGAGCCCGGGGAGTCAGTGATGTTCCAGTCTGAGTTTGAAGACTTGAGAACGAGGAGAGCTTAGGGCATAAATTCCAGTCCAAAAGCTGGCAGGCTTGAAACTCCAGAAGAGCTGATGTTTCCGTTTGGGTCCAAAGTGAGGGAAAGACTGATAATTGGAGCTCATGCAGTCAGGCCAGAGGTCTCTTTTTAAATTCTATTCTATTCTGGCCTTCAACTGAATGAATGAGAGCCACCCACATCAGGGAGAGTGATCTTGTTTACTCAGTCTACTGATTGAGATTTTATCTCCATCCAGAACACCCTCACAGACACACCCAGAATAGTATTTGACTATTGGGGCACCCCATGGCCTAGTTATTTGGACACATAAAATTCACCATTACACAGGGCTATCCTCCTCCCCCACCCCCACCCCCGCCGCCATAGAGACATTTGACAATCTGGAGATGTTTTTGGTTGTCACAGTTGGGTGGGCGATGATGGAGGCTGCTGCAGGCATCTAGTAGGTGGAGGCCAGGGATGCTGCTAAACATCTCAGTGCAGAGGACAGCCCCCCACAATACAGAATAGGTACCTCAAAAGGTCAGTAGAGCTGAGGTTGACCAACCCTTCTAAGACTAAGACCCTAAAGTAAGTTTTGTGATGGTTGTCAGGAATTAAAGAATACAAAGAAACCTAATTGGGGGATTTCTATCTTAGTCATGTTAAGAGTAAGAATTGGAGTATGAGATGTGTTCAGAATTAAATTCTTTTTTGTATTATTTTTGATCCCAGCTTTTAAAAGATAAAAATGTGATTAAAAAAAGATTAAAAGTATGATTATTAAAAATCAGGGATGTGTTAATCAGCAAGACAGTTTTAAATCTATTCATATAATGTTTGAACTAAATAATTGTGTCTTCAAAGAGGTCTCTTCATGAAGTTGAGATAGGTTATAATTTGTGTAATTTTAAATCTGGCCAAAAGGTGGCATCAGTGAAACTTTAAAAAATGTTCATTATACTTGAATTCAGCCTTACTATTAATAGTAAGTATTATTTAGGGCTTAGCTACTTTTGGATCATGGTTTTTAGAGTCAAGGCTAATGAGAATTTTTTAAAAATTTTCATAGGGCACTGCAATATCTTGATACTCCTCTTTAATCGAGATGCCTCTGATTTACATGTACATATATCACTAGATAACTTTTTAAAATATCACATCATTGTGATATATTGAACATTTCTGAAGATTTTTCCAAGTCATTAATAGTGAGGCCTTGGGATTTGGGCTCTTCTAATCAGGCATCACACTCAGTTTTTGGTGTTCTGCCTGGTCAAGAAATAGATTAAAGGGCATTTGAGTAAATACGCTCCCTTGCTTGTTTCTTGCCTTTTGTTCTTTTTTTTTTTTTTTTTTTTTTTTTTTTAACATCCACAATCTATGAGGTAGGCCAGTATGTTACTTACTGAAATTTACTGTCTTTTCCAACTATGGTTCAACAACTGACTTTCTTCTTTTACACTTTCCAACCCATTCCATTCTGAATAAGTTAAGAGTTTTCTTACCTTCAACT